GTGATAGGTAGAACATAATAGGGAAATGCTTTTTCGATCAGCAAGTGGATGATGGATAGGTTAGTGCTAGGTGAGTCAGGTAGTCAATCCCCATCCTAAAGTAGCTTCCAGTTCGGCTTCTTAATATCTGGCATCTAATGAAAAGAATTTGACATATAACTGTCTTATTTCCTTTTTAAAGAATTATTTATTTATTTTATCTATCACCAAATTAAATTATTTTTTAATTTGTTGCAGGGTATGTGTGCTCACCAAAGAGAAATAGGGAAAGTAAGAGAGCAAACCACTGGGTCCAGGACTCAAACTGTGGTCATCCATGTGAGAGTCTGGCACCTCAACCAATATGCTACCTGAACCCATAACTCTCTTATTTTATTTTCCTTCTAGTGTTGTTCCTGGCAACACTAGACTTGAACTCTTGCTTCTTTTAGAACTTTACTATATCCAGTCTCTTCCATAGAGACATCTAGGATTTTTTCAGAGGTTCAAACTTCCCTCCCACCGTGACCATTCTACTGGTGGGCAGGTGGAAGGGATTGGATGATAAGTAAAGGACAGGAAAATGAAAAAAGAGTAAGTAGGTCATTTAACAGGGAAATAATTAAGCTAACATGTTTTCTATTCATTTGGGTCCTTCATGACCTTGACCTGATATCTATATATTTAAAATAGCAGCTTCTCCATCAAGTTCTAAAAAGATCGACTTTCTCTCTTACAAGAAGACCTCACATTCTGCCTGCAATAAGGAAATGATAGCCTCATTAAATATTTATCTAATGGTGCCACAGAAAGAGAAATTAATGAATTAATTTTTGTGGATTAAATTAATTAAATTAATGTGGATACCCATCAAACACGTGGCTTTCAGTAGTCACACCTACTGCACAGACCTAAACAAAACGTTCTCCCAAAAGAATGCCTTACGTCAACCATTTAATCCACTTGCTGCACACAATTTGCGTTCTTACATGGAATCCTCTCTATTTTAGTGGATAACAATGGTTTATTTTTGAAACTATAAACATAGATTACACAGTTGATAAAGAAATGATCATGTTATAAACACATATATTAACACAACTTACACAGTGCACTTTAGCCAAATATATTAAAGTGACTTATCAAAAACTACTATAAAGATTAATTACCTCCATTTTGTAGTGCACTTAGTAACAGTAACAACACCTGGAATTTATATAGCACCTTTCTTCCTAAGTGCTCAAATCTTAGAGCAACCGACTGCTCATTCATGTGAAGTGAATTAATGTTTCCAGGTCGCCTGAGTACCATTTAGCCAGTGACTTCATCTTGTGTAATATGTGGCATTCTGGTACCCTGATCTCTTATTGGGCCTCAATTGGATAAACAGCGTGTTTCCAGAGAGAAGGGTCATTCATGTCGGCACGTCATTATATTGAACTCTATTTGAACAGGGACCAAAGGTGACAAAATTAAAAAGTTCTCAATAAAAATATTTTGTTGCATAAAAATACATTGCAGTGACATATTAGACAGTTTACATGAGAACATGTGAGACATTTCACCATGCTTTTTTCTCCATTCTTCCATACATACATACATGTGAGAAAGATTCTTCATGGGCTGAAACATTTGTGTGCTTATATTTGGAATCTCTATCCTTTCCAAGTCTCTGGAAAACATGAACAATGGGCTTAATGATTTTTGGGGTTATACTTCCAAATCATTGCACTGTCATATCCTTAAATACCACGTTTTAAAATCTATGTCATCAGTTCGAATTAGGAAGAACATTTTACAGCACGCTAGCTTAGAAAATTGACATTTCTATTTATGCCTCTTGTAAGTTGGAGATGATTTTGTCACTTCACATGCAGAATTACATTCTAGTAGAACATTTTCATCCACTTCTGATTTAAAAACAGCAATGGGGATTTATGTGAGTATGAAATTGGCTTTGTTATTTGATTTTATAAACACTGCCACAGAAGTGACAGGGTTCAATTCAGTAGCTACTTTTTTTTTTTTTTTTTTTTTTTTTTGCGGGGTTTTTTTTTTTGGGG